TACCCTAATAAAATAGAGAGAGAGTGGAAAGAGTAATAAATGTGTCAAGTATCAGAGGGGTAGCCGTGTTAGTCTGGATCTGTAAAAAGCAATTTGTTAGTCTCTAAGGTGCCACAAGTACTCCTGTTCTTCTTTTTTTAGAGAGTCTTGTGGCACCTTTAAGACTAACAGATGTATTGGAGCATAAGCTTTTGTGGGTGAATGCCCACTTCATCAGACACATGTCCCATTCACCACAAAAGCTTATGCTCCAATACATCTGTTAGTCTTAAAGGTGCCACAAGGCTCTCTGTTGCTTTTTACAGATCCAGACTAACACGGCTACCCCTCTGATACTTGACACATTTATTACTCTTTCCACTCTCTCTCTATTTTATTAGGGTAGTAATTAAACCTAAATAGAACACACTGAAAAAAAAATTAAGTTCTTTCTCTATCCAGGTATTTAAATTATGCTTATTACCATGATATCTGACCACTTTTATCCACCCTAGACCCATTTTCAAGAGAATATCACATCTTCATAATAGAAAAATCTACCTTTTCTTTTGAACAGATGAATTATAATGTACCTGCATAAATGTTAATGCTCAAACATTAAAGTAAACGTTTGCTTAATGTCAAAGAAAAGGAGTCCTTTATAAACTCAAAATATTAAACAAAAAAGTAAAAAGATGCTGGAAAACCTTAAAGAAAAAATACTGCAAATTCTTACCGGGAGAGAATTCCAACGAAGTTGCGCACAGATGATGCGTGGAATAAGGATTGAACATTCCCAAGATTGCTCAGAAACTCTGCTGTTTCACTTATTCTGCCAACTCTGTATATTTGTAAAACTTTCACTGGACAGTCACTGCAAGAAATTGAAAATGAACTTTGAGGCAATGTGAGTTAGAAAGTGTATTCAAATTCAATTAATAGCTAGAGGGTGAAGAACTAATATGTACCTCAAAGAAATGACTACTCTTCATTTGTTTTTCTTTCCTAATTACAAGAACCAGACACAGTACAAAGGAGCATTTACTGAAAATGCACTGGAAATATTTAAATATTAAAGGCAAATAGGAATACAAATTGTAATTCTATAGCAGCTATCTAATCTGTGATTGCCTGTAATCTCATAGTAGGTTTCCCCCTTTTCTAGACAATGTATTTATGTTTCACAGAGTTCAAGCTATGGCAGAACTGTGAAAAAAATCAGAATGTTAGTTTTCCAAAATTTTAACGGAAACTTCAAAATCTGTTTTTATCTATCAGACCTACTCATTCATTGTCCTTTTGGAGTCAACAGTCTGGGTGACCTAAGAGGAAGAGCTTCTAGCTTATGATCTGCACAGAATGTAGCTGCATTACACTACAACTCCCAGCAGCCACTGACACTTGTCTGAGGCTGTAGACAGGACCAATGGCTGCTGGAAGTTGTAGTACACTGACTAAGGCTTAAAAGGTACTTAGGTGCCCAACTCCATGAATCAATGGGAGTTAAAGATATTTAGGCCCCTGAGGATCTGGGCCTACAAGCTCAGTTCGAACAATCCTGCCACAAGCTCAGCTACATACAAAATACATATTCAATTACAAAACAAACACCATAGGATCCTCTCTTAAAGATATTTAAATAACAAATTCAGAGTAGTAGGAATAGGTGCTGAATCCCTCAGTAGCACGAGCAGAGAGGAATTTAGCAAAGCTTTTTTAAAATTTGCCTTTTTGGTATCCTTTCAGATCCTGGGAAGTCCAGACTTGGTGCAGATCAGTGGATCCTGCTCCAGAAACAAACACAGAAGCCATAAAATCTAATTAAAACAAATTTAAAAATAATTCCTTCCAAAAAGGAAGATGATGTGTTTTTCAAAATTATTGAGGCCTTGAATAATGAAACAAAAAATAGAGCAGTTTTATCAGTCTCATCAGATACTGTCATAATGAATTTGTTTCTATTCAATCCCAATGTACATCATAGTAGAGGAAGATATATCTTATTCAGCTGATCCAAGCAAAGATGGGCAGGAAGAACAACTGGGGCCAAGATCCAGCTGTTTTTAGAGTTGGGAGTGAGCTACCAATGGCCTATCATCATGCTGGCTGTACAATCTGCAGAGCCCCAAGCAAGGACACAGCCCCAAGCTGCTGGAGCTGATGACTGGGCATGAATTTCTTCCCATCTGGTTCTGGTCCTAGGGAAGGTATGGGAGCAAGTTCTTTCCTCTTCCTTTGGTCTCAGAAATAGAGATGGAATAGGACAAACACCTGACATGCTATGCCTGCTTACTTTGCTTTTGTAAAGGCCAGCCCTGCCTACTCCACAACCCTGCTGGCTCTGGAGTGGAGTGGAGTGTTCCAGAAGCCAAAGATCTCACTGCTGTGGCAGAATCTGGTGGCCCACCCCTCATGTATTTTATGCATTATTCCTATAATACTACTGAGGTCATCTTATCACTATTAAACACCCACCTGTGATTATTTTTCAACACCTGCTGTTTAACATTGAGAAATTCTTCACTGTTTGGATTGATAGCTTGTATCTTGCACCTTAAAGCCCGGTATTTAGCAAGAGATGGTGGGTTAGGGCTTGACGTACTTGTTTCGCAAACATTAAGCATGTCTCTGATTAGCTAAAATATAAAGATATAAATTAGAATTGATATGTGGATAATACATTGTAGTGACTAGTGAACAGTGTTCTAATTCTCTACATTTTTGGTGACTTTTGGGGGGCGGGGGTCATTTTATACTTATTACATTTAATATAGAAAATAACCAAAACCCAGAATAAAGAAAAAGAGAGAAAATTATAATAAAAGAAAACCATTCACACTAATTACAGTGAAATAATACTGGAACTGAAGATAAAAGCAGAGACTGTTTCAACTTATCCGTTAGCATGAATAGCAAGAGTGAGACCAGGTGTGGCACCTTACGTAAACAAAACATGGCAGATACAGTTAAACTGTTTTCATAAAACTCCAAATCAATCCAAGCCTGGGGCCATCTCACAACAACTCAGCAAGCCAGTACTTTCTGTTGGCTGGCTGCCATTTTGACTTTGCTCCTGGGACTGTCCTCACTCCCTGGCTGCCACTCAGCAGCCATCCTGTGTTGTCAGCAGTGCCATTGGCCAATCAGGAGGACAATGGCACTAAAAGCAATGCACAAAGCTGGGCTTCACAGCCTAGGAGAGGGGGGAAAGGTGAGGGATTGAGATCATGTTATCACAAGACTCGAATCAATCCAATTCCCAAACCTTAGCAGGGAGTTGTCCTGCTCTGAGGATAGAGACAGGGTGGGGAGGCCAAGCAACCCAGCACCAGCTTGTGCCTGGATAAGTGGCACATACACATTTTATTAATGCATATTCATAGATTCCAAGGTCAAAAGGGACCATTGTGATCATACAGTATGATCTGTATAAGAACATATCATGATGGGACACCTAACCTGCACACAAACTAATTATATCACATTAAACTATAAAAACTTTATATTGTTGCCACATCATCAGTCATGGGCAAGATTTATGGGATGTGAGACTTCTGGTATCAGAAACTTTCCTATGGCCAAAGATAATTATATCGAACATATTTTAAATGTAACTTTTTTGCACCGCTAGTAAGCCCCCCATTGCTATTTGGATTCACAATGGAACTATATTTTAGTAGCCCTGGCAAGAGTTAAAAAATATCCTACTCACTGGCGTAACAGTATTTATAAGTGACACTATACAGGACATATCAGTGCTTACTAACAATCTGAAAGTGTTACCTGACAGAGGTCCTGTTTGCTAGATAACAGTTTTTTGGTAATATTATAGTCTATTCCATTTTTGTGACGTATAATTCGATAGAACTCCATCATCATCGCTTTCAGTGCCTTTGCTTCTGTTCCCTCATTCATTGCATTCTTTATTTGAAGTAGAATACCTTCCCCTTTGCTGACCTTCAAGAGAAGAGATTATTAAATATGAAATCCTGACAAAACAGTCCAACAAGCCTGAAAAAGGTAAATATTAGAAATAGAGGGTAATTTCTTTCCACACTAAGATAATACTTTTTTGTTTATTCTTTGTTATTGCAACATCAGTACAATTCCTTTTTGTATCTGAGTTTGGCATTCAAAACCAAGGACCTAATTCTACCTTCATGCTGAGATACTCTGCAAGTAGTTGTGCTGATTTCAGTAGGACTACTGACCAAGTAAGGGGAGCAGTATGTACCCCAAGTATATAACAAAAAAAGAACATGGATTTTATTAGCTGGCAGTGCCTCTTAGTTTCTTGTAAATTCACAATGTCAGACTAACTCTTTATTAAATAATGGAATCCCAGAGGGTTTATGGTTGGAAACTACAAGAAGATAACAATAAATGTTAATGAAACTTCTAAATCATTAGTTTATCTAACGGTACATAAGGCAAACACCTATTTATAGCAAGTGTCTGAAGATTGCACTGAAGTACCATTATCCATTTGACATTCTGTCCAAATTTGAAATAAAACAGGAAATAGAACATAAGAACGGCCGTACTGGGTCAGCCCAAAGGTCAATCCAGCCCAGTATCCTGTCTACCAACAGTGGCCAATGTGAGGTGCCCCAGAGGGAGTGAACCTAACAGGTAATGATCAAGTGATCTCTCTCCTGCCATCCATCTCCATCCTCTGACAAACAGAGGCTAGGGACACCCTTCCTAGAGGAAATAGATTTGCTCGCATAGCTGTACTGAATTTCAGTATAGCTGTTACTTGGAATACATTCCCATTTGATCCTTTCTGCAGAATGCCAGGTGATAGTTTGATGATCACAGAGCAGTAGGGAAGAGGCAAACTTCAATATAATTTACACAAACCATAAGCAATATCCAGTAGTGTAAAAGTGGTTACATAACCCAGGGACTTCATAACAAAGTTCTACTCTATATCAATATTGATCCAAGGCTGATCCTTGCTTCACAATGGCCCTTTGGCAACATTGCTAACTGAACCACAGCTTCTAAATTCTTATATTTTAAAAATTTAAGACTATTTCTTAGGAAATTGCATATAATGATGTTTCTCTTACAAATTAACTACTTTGGCAGTGAAGCCAGTCAGAATATATTAATTTTATCAAATTAATTCTTACAGAGGGACACATGGGATACAGACCTTTTCACTTCTAGGACTATGGTTCATATCTTACCTACATTGGCAATGATTGAATGTATCTATCAAATGCCTGGTGACTTATGTGAAATGAATAGGAAATCGCAGTAGACAGGCTCCCACATCTCCAAATGGTATGTCTAAATGTATTTAATGTATATATTAATTGATTTATAAAATGCACCCACCACAGTCTCTGGAGATTATATATATATATATATATATATATATACACGCACACACATTATATACATATACATACACACACACTAGATACAGTTATGGAGATGTGTTTAAATACAACTGTATCTAGTATAGTTCTGATCCCAGGTTGGAAAGGGCAAAATACTCTTGCCTGGAAACAAAATACTTATATTAATACTTAGATAACACTGGTTCCTAAAGAGTAACCATTTCTAAGCAAAATTAACTTACATCATTTAGGCTGATGTTGTTTACTGGTTCAAGTAGTAAATGGTCCAAATGACCAAGTGCTTCTGCCCAGATCAGTTCCACAAAAGCACTAATTTCTTGGGATAAAGTGCTTGAATTTATGGCTTCCTCTAGAAGTAGCTGCAGTAAACAAATATCAGTTAATAAAAGAAACAGAGATGCAAACTTGCTCCTCCAGTTCTCACACTGGTAAAACTCCCATTGATTTCCCTGTTCTCATAAGTGTTACACTACAATATATGTGTTAAAATTTACTATGACTTATTTAGGCCAATTGACTTGAATGGGAGACTTGCTTGCAAAAAGTCTCCCATTCAAAGCGTGAGGTCATATTCTTTCTTGATAGTTGAGTGGAGTATCTGATAATGAATGGGATTTATTATTAAAATATAGTGCAAACAAGCTCCAGATGAGGTGGTATATTCTGCCAGCTCTGCTGGAACAAACTCAACAAAAAACTTTACTACACTGCAATTCTTTCTCCTTTCCCTTTACACCATTCCCAAACCACTTTCACCACAGTCATAACTCTTGTGAACAATTTTTCTAATCAATTCCCTAGACTCATACTGAGTCTCTGTCTTGCACAGACTCTTCAGCTAACTCAATTGCTCCCGCTCCCTCTTTCCTTTCCTCCATTATTCTTTGTGACGGACTACCCCAAAATTGCTTCCAATGCCTTTCCCAATCTCAGTGAGGGCAGGAGCCAATCAGCTGCTGATTGATGGATCTATTGCTTATACAATGAATAGGACAATGGACTGTCAACAGGAAGCTTTGCTAGAATGGACTGCATGTCCCTACTATTTTCTTTATTATGCAGTTAATACTGTAAGTTCAGGATGGATGGATTCAAAATGATTGTTGTCTTCATTTAGGGTGCATACTATTTCTCCTGGTTCAAAAAGCCGCAAAAATTTTTATAAGTCTATCACAAAGACATTCCTCTCATACAGGTAAAAACTGGGGATGCAAAGCTAGAGAAGAAAGGAAGGGCCATGAAAACCAGTGCAATCCATACATCCAAAGCAGCTAAAGAAAGTATGGAGAGATTTTCTAATGTGTACTGAGGAACATTATTAAAATATTTGCTTTGGATTTTTTTTGCAGTATTTTTGAGCTCCAGTGGTTGCCATAAAGTCAATGTTTTCCAACAGTTACTGCACAGCAGTATCAGACACAACACAAATGTTTCTCTATGCTTAGAATAGGAAAGAACTGTTGGAAGGTAATGAAGTTTTAATGACAACAGCTGTATTGCTTCAGAGAAAACAATACAAGGGATTCTAACTTTCCTGTAAAAAGCAACAAAGAGTCCTGTGGCACCTTTAAGACTACCAGATGTATTGGAGCATAAGCTTTCGTGGGTAAATACCATGCGTCTGACGAAGTGGGCATTCACCCACGAAAGCTTATGCTCCAATACATCTGTTAGTCTATAAGGTGCCACAGGACTCTTCGTTGCTTTTTACAGATCCAGACTAACATGGCTACCCCTCTGATACTTAACATTTCCTGGATATAGGTGATATAATCTTAAAGCCAGTTTTGTGTCAACACGTAGTTTAGCTTATCTGGGGCAAAAGGGAGGGTAGATTGCTTACAGTAAAAGGATACATGGAAAAAAAATTGTATCACACTGTCTATCAGCTATTGAAAATAGATGTAATCAAACCTATTTGAAACATACTCCTGGGGCCAGGATCCAACTCACTGTTGTCAATGGGAGTCTTCCTACAGACTTCAGTGGAAATTGGATCAAGGCTATGAACATAAGTAATGAGTGAGAATTCTGGCACTTGAAAACATCCAATTGTACAATATCCTGACATCATTTTTTGGGCACAACTCCCACTGACTTTGATGGAGTATTCTATGTACTTACCTATGGTGGAATAAGGGAATTCTCTACAGCGTGATTAATTAAATTTGCTTTTCATATGTTAGAGTGAAGTAATGTAAACCATTAGTTCATTATTCCTAAAAATCTTTCAAAACATTAGCATATAAATACCATGTTCCCTAACCTATTATATTCTACTACTTAAATCTAAACCATAATCCTCACACTCAGAGAATCAGAAACTAATATAAATCATTAAGACCAGAAGAATACAAACAAATAAGTCATACTAACCTCTTGTAATTTCATAGAGGCTAAATAGTCTGCACCAGGTGGAAAGGTTTCTCTTAATAGAAAATCCTGGTTCTTCAAATCTTCAACATAAATCTCATAATTTTCTCTTACTTCTTCAGAAGTCTTAGTTGCAATGAACTGTTTTTTACTCTGTGAATGACAACATCAAGATACATAAGAAAAAGAAGACTTACAGAAGTGTGCCAGTTTTGTGGCATGTCACACTACCAGCTGAGAGACTTGTGCGCAAGGTTAATCTAGAGCTCTAGCATAACAGGTTTTCAGAGTGTGATGGGGTATATAAACTCTACATTGGGACAGAAGGGGTTGAGGAGCAGTTCCGGGCCCAGATGACTCCACCCCTTAAAAAAAAATTAATAGAGATATCCCATCTCCTAGAACTGGAAGGGACCTTGAAAGGTCATCGAGTCCAGCCCCCTGCCTTCACTAGCAGGACCAAGTACTGATTTTGCCCCAGATCCCCAAGTGGCCCCCTCAAGGGGGGTTTAGCAGGCCAATGCTCAAACCACTGAGCTATCCCTTCCCCCTCCCACATACTAAGCTTGCTCCAGTTGGAAGAGGATCTTAAAAGGGAAACAGACAACTTGGAAGGGGGGAATAACCTTTTTGGACATAGAAAAAGCTTAGGATGTGTTATGGAGAATACGACTACTTCATAAAGTAGGCTCCCTGGGTATTATCAGAAGAATGTATATATGGGTCAGGGACTTCAGCAAATGAACAAGTCTGAATAGGGAAAGCTTTTCCAACACATACACAACTGCAAATGGAACTCCACAGTGGAGTGTAATTAGCCCAACCCTCTTTAACATCATGATAAATAACCTCCCCAAGGAGATGAGTACAGGAATAGGGATCACATTATTTGTTGATGTCTTGTGTCATACAGACCAAAAGCAGAAGCCTTTATTCTTTTGGTAGCGCTTTCAATTATGCATTTAAGGGAAGTGCAGAATAGGGAAACAGGTTGGCCTTCAAATTCTCCATAGACTAAACTAAGGGAATGATGTTCACAACAAGGAAAACCCAAACAGATGTAAAGTTATAGCTACATGACTGCCTCTCATGGACCATACTGAAAATATTAAAGTACAAAGGTAGAGTTAAGTTACTTAAAAGTATCTCCGGAACATACTGGGGAGTGGATATGAAAAAGGTGGTAAGGCTATACAGAACAGGAATTAGACCACTTATTGAGTATGGATGCCAAGACTTTAGGTCAGCTGTGAACACAAATCTGAGAAAACTAGACTATATCCAAGTACAGCCATTGCATATTGCATGTGGTGCCTTCATTCTTATGCCTCTATGTGCACTACAGAAAGCAGCCAATGAAGTGCCTATCACTCTTAGAATGAAGTTCTTAGACTTAACCTTTTGGGCCAAAGTACTAGGTAACACTCAGCGAATATATAATGATTATTTGGAATTAAGTGGAGGCTAAGTAGGGCAAAAACTCAACGTTCCCCATGTAAACAGGGTACAGAAGTGGATAAAGGATCTTAATGAAAAAAAAAAGACTGAAAGATCAAAATCTACAGCTATTGGGAAAATTATCTGTCATCGGAAAACCATTCCCCTTGAGGTAGGCATGAAATAATATAATGAAATAAATAAAAGGAGAAGAATGATAAATATACAAGATATAAGAAATCAATATATTTGTGATAAGTGGGGACACTATGGCCATATATATACAGATGACTCAAAAGACAAAGGAACAGGAAGTGTGGGAACAGCCTCATTCAGTCCTCATTCAGACTCAAGAAAGTTCTAATGCTAACTAGCTTTGTATCCATTTTTACAGTTTAGCTAATAGGGATTGTGCTAGCATTAAACCGGGCTTTAAATGTGTGATCAGCTGCCATGGTCATCTTTTCTGATTCCTTATCAGGACAGCAGACAATTTACAATGGAAAGTCTGACATCAGAAATTATATTCTGAATGCAATATTACTGCTAACAACCAAACTGGCGCAATTGGATATAACCATAGTAATAGCATGGATTCTGGTGCAGGTAGGGATAGCAGGTAAAAGATTGGAAGACAAACAGGCAAAAGGGCTATTAATTGTGAACAAATTGACCAAGGAATCTCCTTAAGCAAACTGAAATTTAAACAGCTAATGAAAAATGAGTTAAGGAAGGAATGTCAAGAACTGTGAGCAAGCTAAATGAAGGGGAGAAAATTCCAAGTAGTATGCCAAACAGTTGACAACGTGGATATAATTCAAGACCCTGCAAGGAAGAATGAAGTGGTTCTTTTCAGAATTCTAACAGAGCATTGTGGGTTAAGCAGTAATTTATTTCTAATTAACAAGAATAAAGATGAATTATGCGTAACAGGTCCAGGAAATGATAGATCATATTCTTTGGGATTGTAAAGACTGTACCAGTGAAAGGAGGTGTTTATACAGAAAACTCAGAGGCCTTAAAATAATAACTTTTTCCTTGAAACAACTATCAAGGATACAAGGAAAATGGGGCCCAATAAAAAAATGCTCTTCTGCAATTCTTTAAGAATACTGGGAAAGGTGCAAGATTCTAAGCCAAGAACATGGTATGAAGAAGAAGGGGGGAGACCTACCTTGGGAGCTCCTAAGTAAGAATGCAGCAGGAGTCCTGGCTGCAAGAGTAGTTCTGCTAGCAGCAGTTACCCCAGGTCCTAAAGGAAGAGCTAGCCGTTCCCTAAGAGTAGGGAACCTTTTGCTCTAGCTTCTGGAGGATCACTTAATGAGGCATTTGACCACATCTTGGACTGGGGAAGCAAGTGGTAGGAAGTGGCTCAGGGAGGCAATCCTGAAACGGGTATATGCTATCACTGCCTCTCATAAGGTTCCTAGGTCAGAGCCTGATGGAGAGAGAGGGCTTGGCTCCCGTACCAATTGCCCTTTGGGTGGAGGGGCATAAACTCCTTTCTCTCCCCCAACCTTGGAGAGGAGAGTACAGAGATATTGTAAGCCTTGAGTCAAGACTGTGCCACCCACAGGAGTCTGGAGGTGGGTTAAAGACCCTTTATTTTCTGGGGGCATTGGACTGAAGTGAATGCAATTGGCCTAGTTGCTACCTACCAAAAGGTGGACCACTTAGCATTAGAACAATTGCTGGAGAGGGACGCTGGAAACGGACCAGAGCTGGCACCCAGTGGTATAACCACTAGACAGCACCACCCGTACATGTAACCCCCTGTTGCGGAGTGTGGGGGAGTCAGGGCCCTGCACCCCTCTTCCCGAGATTCACTGCGACTCTCAACCAGCCAGTAAAGCCGAAGGTTTATTTAAGGACAGGAACACAGTCTCAAGCAGAGCGTGTAGGTACGACCAGACCCCCTCAATTAGGTCCCTCTGGGAGGTTCAGGGAGCTTAGACCCCAGCTTGGGGTTCCCTGCGTTGCACCACCCAGCCCAAACCGAAACTAACCTCCAAGCCCCTCCTGCTGCTCCTCTCCTTTGTTCAGTCTCCCGGGCAGAAGGTGTTAATTCTCCCCACCCCCGTTCCTGGCTCAGGTTACAGCTCAGGTAGCTTCCTTCAAGGGAAGTCCCCCCTCCTCACTGCAATCCCCCTGCAACATTCCCAGGTCAAATCTGCCCTGCTCCCTGCTCCGTCACACCCCCATCACACAAGGTACGTTTTCACTGCAATATAAAACCTGTTGCACCTAGTCTCAGAGCCCAGGTCAACTGACTTGGGCTACTGGGACTCAGGTTGTGGGGTTAAAAATAGCAGTGTAGATGTTTAAGCTCAGCCTGAAGCCCATGCTCTGAGATCCCCCTCCCCTGAGGGATCTCACTGTCCGGGCTCCAGCCCAAGCCCGAATGTCTAATCTTCAATTTTTAGCCCCACAGTCCGAGCCCAAGTCAGCTGACCCGGGCCAGCAGCAGCTGTGCCCCAGGTCTTTTATTGCAGTATAGACATACCCAAAGAGGCAATGCTTTTAGGATTGCTGGAGAAGAACCAGAGGGTCAGGAAGGGCAAGCATGCTGCATTACTCACAAAGTCTGTAATGGCTGGGTAAATTCTTAAAAATAAATGACAGGAAAAGTCATTTTACCAACTTTGAAGTGACAGGACTGGCAAATAATTGGCTCCAAGTAGGGCCCTTGATGTGACACAATAGGCCAAATTCACCCTGGTTTACGTTCAGATAACTGAACTCATTTGTGTTACGCTGACACTGGCTTCAGTAGTTGCAGGAAAGATTAATTAGCCTCATTGTGTCTGGGAGCCTACTTTCAGTCAGTTATGTCAGTCAAAAGCTAGTAGAATGACCTTTTCTTTTATTTATATTTAGTAATCTGATTGCAAACAGGAATGACAAGCATTTGGCACGATGGGATGGATTTATTAAATATACTGAAATAAACTAACAAATAAACTTGCAATAAATGACAAAAAACAGCTCATACCTTGAATCCATCTGACATGCTGAAGTGTGCAGATATTCGAAAGGGAAACTCACACGATTCTTGGGAACACTGCAATTCAATAACTACAACTTGTTTGCCTTTCTCAGTACTAATCTGAAAAACAACAACCCTTTTATTTCAATACATGTCCCGTTCATACTGTCATTAATGTTTTCTTCAACTGTTTGTTGTCATAACATATACTTCCCCACGTTCCCCCACATTGTATAGGGAACCATCATGATTTACTGCTATGAAAGCATTAGTGGAATGTGCAGCAATTATTTATTATTTTCATTACTACAGCACCCAGAAGCTCCAGTCAGTATCAGAGATTCACTGTGCTGGACAATGGACAATTTCTTCTATATTTTGAGATCTGAAAGTCTTCTCCATTTTGAAATGAAAACTTACTGTATTTAAATTACATTTAATTTATTTATATGAAATCTTTGTTAACTGTATAAACTGCCAGAAGAATATACATATTACTGTACTTTGTTACCTTGGGGATGCTATAGTGATAAAAATTAGAATTTTGTTTCAAGTAAAGTTAGGCTGCACTGAAAGATGTACTACTTTAAATTGGTTTGTCAATAGTGTTCTTTGTTTTTGTGACCCTGATGGCATAATAATTTGTAAGATTAAAGCAAAAAATTAAAGTAATGCATACAGAACTGCAAACCATTTATTGATTCTACTGCATTCTACTAACACAAGAGATGTCACTAAAGATGCTTACTTTTTCAAGGGCATCATATTTTGCAACTTCAAAATCTTGTGGAAAATAAGGAATATCTTGATCATTTTCTGTATAAAATCTGAAATCAGAATAATTGAAATTCTCTTAACATTTTAAAATAAATCTTTGAAATTAGTAATTTTACAAAGTTGCAGCATCACACTAAATGCAGGGCCTACACTTATACAATATAAGCGTATTTTCCCACAGCCCAGAAAAAACAAAAACTTATTCTGAACGAGTAAAAATCAGTGCCACACAGCTGCTGACTTGCACTAAAAGGTCATGGATACTTTGACTGATCAGTGTGTCCAACCTGAAGCTGAACATGGAGATTGGCTTTCAGCTTTACTCATCTTGCAAAAAACATTGGGCAACCAAATGAACAAATGTAATTTACCTGCCTGGCCCACTAATTTGCTAAATGCTTTCTCTGGTTTTGCCTATCCAGTTGCATTTTAGCAATCCTAAATATCAGTGGGAGATTAATTCCCACCCTGTCCTTAGACTTTAAATATATGTCCTAATATTAAAGTCATGCCTTTCAACATCTAGTATTTTAAGCAAATAAGTATAATTTGTAACTGATTCATTCCTAGAAAATAATTAACATCTATTCTACACTGATGGCTTTTAATGCCAGTGAAATATGTGTTTTATTAATAAGTTCTAAAAATGTGAGTGTCTTAGTTGTTTCTTCTTATGCAACTTGCTCTCTCCTTAATTACAGTAACAATCAGCCCTTTGCTCTCAACTGGCATAGGAGTAACTTCAATGCACATGATATTCAGCTGTGCTGGGGGCTTTATGGTAGCTACAGGTGCTCAGCACTTCTGAAAATCAGATTCATTGAGTGTTCTGTGGCAGAAGGACCAGACAGGAATGTAAACAAAAATCTATCTGTTTTAGCAGAGAAATTCTGTAGCCAGAGAAATTGCTATAGTGAACAAAACTCCAGTTTAAGATAGCGTGGCCTTTTAAAATCATAATCAATTATTTTATATGATATTATCATAATAATTATAAATTATAAATATATTTTATGTTATAATATTACATTTTTTAAACACAGAGCTTGAGCCCACAGTCTTTTCTGCCTATTTAATTCCCAATAAGATCAATGGAATTGCATGTATCAGGAATGCAGGATTGAGTTATGTGTGTCTAACCAATACAAAAGCTAAGAAAGTCCAGGGCCACCGGGGGGGGGGGGGGAGGAGAGGGGCAAATGGGACAATTTGCCCCAGGCCCCGGGCCCCGCAGGGGCCCCGCCTCCACATTCCCCCATCCCCCGGTGCCTCAGCGTGCCGCATCAGGAGTGGCCCTGGAGAGCGCTGCGGGCCTAAGCTCCTCCCACTGAATCAGAGCCGCGTGGTAAGGGGGCGGGGCTGCGAGCTCCGATCCCACCGAACCACGCCGCTGCAGCACTGTCCAGGGGCCAAGGCAGCTCCTGGACACGGTGCGCTGAGGCTCCGAGAGAGGGGAGAGGCGGTGGTAACCCAGGAGCGGCCCTGGACAGCGCTGCTGGGGGGGGCGGTCAGTTGGATCGTGGGCGTTCTAGGGGTCTGTCAGGACGCGGTGAGGGGGTGGATAGGGGTTGGGGCAGTCAGGGGACAGGGAGCAGGAGGGTTGGTTGGGGGGGTCCCGGGGAGGTGGTTGGGGGGGGGCGGTGAGGGGACAAGGGTCAGGATGGGTCGGGAATTCTGAAGGGGACAGTTGGGGGGCAGGAAGTGGGTGGGGATCGGATAGGGAGCAGGGCCAGGCTGTTTGGGGAGGCACAGCCTTCCCTACCCTAAAGCTCATTCAGCAGTTTGAGGCTTGCAGACAGCTATTTAACACAATGAGCCAAGATGTTATCTTTTCCCTTAGGGCTACCATCCCTTTCACTTCTCAAATGCCAAATTATAGTCTACATTTAATTTCAGTGCCATAGGGAGAGTCATGTCAGGGGAGGGTAGCTTCATTTAAAATTAGCCACTTTAGATTCACAGTGATAGAGCCAAGAGAGCCATGGGGGAGGGATCACATGAGAAGAGCAATATCATACACCACCTACTTCCTTCCCAACCCTACCAAGGGAACCTCCCCCCCCCCTTGCATTCCCTGAGGCTCCAGAGGGGTTAATTCAGTGGTTCTCAAAGTATAGTACTGGTGACCCCTTTCACATAGCAAACCTCTGAGTGTGACCCCCCCCCCTATAAATTAAAAACACTTTTTTATATATTTAACACTATTATAAATGCTAGAGGCAAAGTGGGGTTTGAGGTGGAGGCTGACAGCTCGCGACCCCCAGTAATAACCTCGTGACCCCCTGAGGGGTCCTGACCCCCAGTTTGAGAACCCCTGGGTTAATTTAATTTTAGCACCCTGTGTCCATTCACATGCATGTACTATTTTGAGCATTTCAGTTTTCACAACATAGGCTCATCCCAGATTCTGGAACAAGCTCAAATGCTCAGTTCATGGAGTATGTACATAGTCTATACTAAAGACAAACCCAAAATAACCATCTCCAGTTTCAGAGTAGCTCCAGTTTGTGAGGGACCCCATGGAGCCAGTCTCTAGGAAATAGATAAATTCATGGAGGTTACGTCCATTAATGGCTATTAGCCAGGATGGGTAAGGAATGGTGTCCCTAGCCTCTGTTTGTCAGAGGGTGGAGATGGACGGAAGGAGAGAGATCTCCCTCTGGGGCACTTGGTAGTCGGTAGACAGGATACTGGGCTGGATGGACCTTTGGTCTGACCCAGTATGGCCATTCTTATGTTCTAACCTAAATGAACCCAAAGTTATGGAGACAGATATGAGTCAAGAAAGCCAGCAGTGTATCAGAAACCTGGAAAAATCTCTGACTGGATGGACTCAGGCGTTTGGTCACAAGTTGAGGTGGTTCAAAAGTTTTGGATTTTTTTTTAAGCAGAATTTTTTTATTGTTTCTTTAAACAATCAAACACAGCAAGCAGCAAATATTTGGCCACACACTTCTGAAACCCCAAACCATGTTCAGGTTTTGGCAGACTAATTTCAGCTTTTCAATTAAAACAACCACAACAAATTTTGAAGGAAAGCAGACATTGTCCGTGATTTTTTCTGCTTTTTAAAAACCCCTAGTTTTCGATCCAAAAAAAGTTCTGACGGAAAATATTTGTCCAACCCTTTTAATGAGCTTTAGTGCCTTTTAGCACTAGCTGATGCTGAGAACCAGTGATACCTTGTGGAGGTGACTTGAAAAGAAGTTTTCTCAAAACTGGGTTTGTGCTGAGATGCGGAAGGTTTTTAAATGTTTATTTTTCCCAGGGCCGCCCGGGGGGAGAGGGGACAAGTGGGGCAATTTGCCCCAGGCCCAGCAGGGGCCCCCACAAGAATATAGTATTGCAACTTTTTTTTATGGAAGGGGCCCCCAAAATTGCTTTGCCCCAGGCCCCCTGAATCCTCTGGGCGGCACTGAGAAAGTCAAAGTTAAAGGTGATCTGAAAATGGGGAAAAACTTTTTTTTTTTTTGCTTTCTTAAGATGCATAAAAAAAAAAAAGGCCCGGAGGTTCTCTTTCATAAAAAGTGCTTTGGGGTTTTTTTAATTGAAAATCTCCATTTTGAATTGCCTGTTTTTAATGGAGGACTCTCTGGACTGCTTGAGAACTAGCAGATTAGATGTCACAGGAGATTAAAATCTGACAAAATGGAAGGGGAATGGGAGAAAAAGCTCTGTTTATGAAAGATTCAATATCCTTGCCTCTTTAATTGAAAGCGCATACAGTTCTCTAGGCCTCTAGCAACATTAAGGAAGACAATCTTTACCACTCCTGATATTACAAAGCTTAAAAAAATTTTTTTTAAGAAAAAGCACAATGATTTTTATTCCATTCGCCTTTGTAGGTCACCTTTCAGATGACTGCTTCACAGTCAGCTCATTCTGTTGTGTGATGATACTACAAATTTAAATGGAAAGCAAGATCCTCATCCTCATGTTAAGCGAATCCAATTTCCCCATAAGAATTAATGTAAATAGGGGGATTAGGTTTCAGGGAATTTTTTTTTTGCCAGACAAAAGGCATTATATACATTTTAAACAAGTAATTTAATACAGCGTTTAGGAGGCAGGAGGGAGGAGCGAGGACTTGGTGCAGGCTCCCCCTCCCTCCACACCCGCCTCCTGCCCGGGCTAATCAGCTGGCTTGCAGTGTTCGGGAGACAGGAGAGGGAGGGGGAGCCTGCGCGCCGAGTACTTGCTCCTCCCCCTTCCGTCCTGCCCCCAAAACGCCGCAAGCCAGCTGATTGCTGCGGGCAGGAGGCGGGGGACTAGGGGCAAGGCGCTGATCTGCGGGGTCTGCCGACGGGCGGGAGATGCTGTGGGGAAGGTGGGAGTGTAGGGAGGCTGCCTGCTATGGAGAAAGCAGGCAGCCAAACAACGTAAGAGTGGAGCATTGCACAACTTTAAATGAGCATGTTCCCTAATCGATCAGCAACGTAACAACGAAACAACATTAACTGGGACGACTTAAAGTGAGGAGTTACTGTATGTTCTTGGAGAAGGTACTTGTGGTAGCTGCACTGGTATGCGAGACAAAAGAGAAGACACAAGCAACTTCCCCTCTCTTCTGTGACACTACAGAAGAACCAGAAGCAATCAGAATAGCAATAGTGGCAGAACTGCTTGGCTTTCTGAAAGTGGACAGGGAGGGAGAAGGTGACTACCCTGTGCTGGCCACCTAAGCACAAGAGGAATCCTACATTATACCTTGTAAGAGGTTGGTAGAGCTCCAGTGTGCATGCCCAAGGGAATTCTAATGGAAACATCCAGAATTCCTCCAGGAAATCCTGTTGCTGTGAGCCCCCACAACAACTTCCCTTCAAATGCAGCTAGTGACTCAGGGTAACAATATGGATCCTCAGCATCAGTTTAAACTTCTGTAAAATGAGGATAATATTTTTTATTCACCTACCACACAATGGAAATGTTTGTAAAGTCAGTGGGGAGTTTTGATACTAACTTCACTGGGAGCAGGCTCAGATCAAATCAGTGATTATTATTAATTATTGTTATTATTTTTAATGTATCTTTTCTAAAACTCCCAAGATCCTAGGCTGCATTACAGAATAATAGCCTCTAAAATTTCTGTCATTACTTAACCCAGAGGCAAGTTAGAGCTTTTACGAGTGGAAAGAAAAAGCACTCAAAAACATTAGGGTTTTAGAAATGGTTAAGTCTTTGGGGCTGTTGGCAGGGTTTTCAAAAGTAAACGTAAATTTCACACACTTATATATCTCAAAAACATGAAACATGAAAAAACAATTATATCTGAAGTTGCAATGTGCTAATACTTTGTGCATACACTGATCTGGAACAAAAGTCAAATCAAATCTCAGAACTAGGATTCAAAAGCAAAAATGGTTTCTTAATTAAAACAAGATATGAGAGCTCTATATATGGTCATGTATATACACTATAGAAAATAGAGAAAGGTTCAGGATTTTTTTAAAAGATACTGTTGTCAAGATAGCATCCAACGTGTAGATGTCACCAAAGTAACTCTGTGGGAGCTACAGGAGCTGGGGCACGGTTTTGTTCTTTTTCTTTTTAAAATATTGTAAGGAACATATGCGATAGGTATCCCTTGAATGATTCATTACTACTTCTAGCTCTCAAAAATTGGAAGAGCAACCTCTGTTTATCCCCAAATAGGACCCACCTAAGAAGACAATAAACAAATAATTTCACATCATGTGAGACACTTTGTCTAAGGACAACAGATCAGCCAAAGTCGAGCATTCTTCTCCCCAACTATAGAAACTAAAATGGCTAAAATGAGAGTATTGTTAATCACATAGGCAAGTATCTCAAATTTGTAAATTTCTTTTTCCACAACCTAGCTAATAAAAACCAAGGTCACATCCATCTCTCCCATGCAGAGTGTTTTCACCCCAAACTGACTATAAACTATACACTGTGTTTTCTGTAAATCAAATATACTGTGAATAATTTGTCCTTCACCTCAAATTAGCATCTGCACAGCTGTTTGCCTTGTGAGTCAGATATATACCCTTCCATATGTGAAAAATGCCTCTTGTTCTATTATAAATCCTAAATAATGTGAAATACTTATGTATAATCAAATAAAGTATGGAGTATGTCCTCCAAACTTAGAAGATTGTAAAGATTTTGTTGGTTTTCATTGTAAATAATTGTTACACTCTAGAATAGGAATCCTCTGGCCTATGGAAGGAGAAATGTTAAAAGACATAAACCAGCGTATAACTTTGGGATATTAAGAGAAATTGCTTAGATTGGGGGAATCCCAATTGATAGTAGGGCCAAAATCCTTGAAATCAAAGGTGGATTAAAATGTATTGGGGCCCTGGGCACAAAGAACATTGCCCCCCTACACCGCCCATGGGACCACGCCCCCTGCTCCCTCCCTTCCCCCCCATGGCCCTGCCTCCTGTCCTGGCTGGAAGTCAGGCCATAGTAAGAGCTACCCAAGGAGCCTGGGATGCTGTGGGGAGCCCTGGACCCTCCACCATGTCCTCGGGGGCAGGGACATGGGCCGGGGGCTGCTGTCGGGCACCCAGGCTCCTCGCTCAGGGCAGGTGGAGGGTCTGGGATTCCCCAGAGCTGCCTGGGCGGCTCTTACTACAGTCTAGGGCAGTGGTTCTCAAACTTTTGTACTTTCACATAGCAAGCCTCTGAGGTGCAGCCCCCCACCTTATAAATTAAAAACACTTTTAAATATATTTTAACACCATTATAAATCCTGGAGGCAAAGCAGGGTTTGGGGTGGAGGCTGACAGCTTGCGACTCCCACCCTATGTAATAACCTTGTGACCCCTTCAGGGGTCCCAACCCCTAGTTTAGGGTGACCATACGTCCTGTTTTGGCCAGCACAGTCCCTTTTTAAGCCCTGCCCCGGACATCCCAACTTTTCTGACAAAAATGGGCATTTGTCCATCATCAGTTGGCAAGAGAAAATGAGACAAATGTCCAGTTTTGCCAAAAAGGGACTTGGGGCGGGGCAGCTCCACGCGGGGGGAAGGAAGAGGGAAGGAGAGGGGCTTTGGCGGTGCTGCTCCGCACAGCGGGAATATGCTCGATGCTCACCCTACCACAGCTCCTGCGTGCCTCTGTCTGGCCTGGCCAAAGGGCGGGGCCCCAGGGGAGGGAGGAGGAGGAGCAGGGCCAGAGTTCCGGCCTGCTTGAAACGAATCAAATTTTAAAAGCCTCCGATATAAAAAGTTTAAGGATTATATACCATCGCCATCTACTGGGTACCAGTGGAAGCAGAGCTGAAATCTCAGCACCCACTTGGCACATGCCCAACAGGAATCATAGAGTGGCCTCCTCGCTCCTCCAAGAAGACTTGAAGCTAGAGTACATAAAACTGAGATCACCATGTGCTAGAGAGAGTAGACTGAATGTAACACAAGAAGCTGCAGAATCCTAAGTGCAACTGATGCCTGGACCAGACATATGGAAAGAACTCTTCCCCCTCCCGGCTCCCAGGGTTAGGAGGATAAGAAGTGGTGAGATTTCTTTTCAAAGATTAGAAAGGGAAAAAACAATCTTTAATATAAATAACTGTAGATTATCTTGCTGAGTCTATACTCCCTAGTGATACCTCAGGTAACCATATTTTAGATTTTAACTCTTTTGTAAATCCAGTCAAATTGGTGTAAGAGAGATTGAAAGGAGTTGTTTTCAGCAACTGCTTTTAATATTGTAAGCTTGTCCCTTTTGCACCAATCTCGCCAAATAGAAGTAAGAAGTAATGCCTTACAGACAAGTGCACCTTTGGACTTGTGATAAATGTGTTAGGTACTAACCGATTGAGAATTGTTGATCCATAAGTAAATGTAATGAGAAATCTTGGTAATTTGCATTGCTCTCTGATATAACTACTAAGCTTCAACTCTGGTCTGTGATAATTGCTTGTAAGACCGTATTATGTTGTAGTACACACACTTGGCTGTGTCTACATTTGTGTGGGGAACTGTTGATTATTTATGTTAATGTGGTTCTGGTGAATTAATAAATTGTTGGTTGGTTAAGAATAAGCAAGTGAGCAGTACTTCTTAAATCAGGATAAGCTGAAAGTTGCCCTGAAAATAACCTAGTGTTAAAATAATAAGCTAACGTTCCCTGGACTCAATGAAAAGGGTTTATCCTATTGGATTCTATTACATATTGGGGTAAACATAGTTTGTTAGATTTCAACTTTAAAAATCTAACAGGCATGCTGGCAAATTCATAAACTGACCCCCTTTCACACTTAATATCAAAATACATTTTTTCTTTTATGCTGGGCAAGGGATTACCTGATGCTCTCCATATTGGGCCCAACGGAGCTCTCACTGACTTCCAAGGGAGTGTGATCAGGGCCACAGTTTTCATTCTTCTCAGTGGCATCCTGTTTCTCCTTAATGTCATGCTCAGAAGATGAGTGGTTTTTCTCACCTGTTATCAAAATATGTTACTTGGCATAATTCCTTCTATCTGGTTTACTTATGTTTAACATATTAATAGCTCAAAAATCAATAATGCTACTTAGCATTTGCAAAGTGCTTTATACGTTCAAAGAATGTATGGATGCTAAATAATTAATCATCAAAATACTCCTATCAGGTAGCTAAGGTAAACAGTAGCAGGTTACAAATAGAGAAACTGAGGCAATGAGGTAAAATTATTTGGCCAACGTCCAACAGTGAGTCACTGGTAGAGCAGAGATTAGAACTCAGGGGCCCCTGACTCCTAACCCTATGTTTATTTTTCAAGACCATACTGATCCATAATATTAATTTATCCATGAGATTCTAAATTCTGCATTACAAGGAGTTCAGAAAAGTATAACAACATCTTTATTACAAACTTACGGAGGGGGTGAACAACACACAAAACTCACAGATGACACTTCATTAGGAGACACTGCTATCACCAAAAACCAAAAAGAAATAAAAGTTTCTTAGAAGTGTTAAAAAGGGGGGAGGGCATGAAATAATGAACCGTCTCAGTCTGAAAAAACAATTAAGACAATGTATGAGGGGACTAATAACCTAAAACAGATTATTTGGTCTATTTTCAAATTCTTGGGTAGTCTCTCATAGTGTCACTACAGACCTTTTTTGCTTGTATTTTTCTTTTTGAGTAAAATTGAAATCTGTGTATCTTAATTATAGTATGTTCAAACCCTTCTTCCACACTCATTACTATTAATTTCATACTTCTACTATTACATCCTGTTCTCTAGATTTCATAATTCCTCAAAGTTTGTTGTCTCAGAAACTAACACTATTCTTTGTAGCAATCTGTTAACCCAACATATACTGTTGAATCAAACTAAAGCTTTTAGCTAACTACAAGTGATATTTTTTCAGTGTATTCAAAAAGACTGTCATGATTGGATTTATTATTTTACCCATATTCCTGATCCAGGGCCTGATCCAAAACCCGTTAAAATCAATGGGAAAGACTCCAATATGGTGTGGTCCATTACGTCCAGCTTCTTTTCTGCAGCTTCTATTTATATTACTTTTTTGCAAACAACCATTGTTGCTAATCCATTTGAAATTAGTTCTAAATTAAATCTTCCTTTCCAAAGGTACCAGCCCATAAAAAACTTCTCTAAATACACTTACCGTAATGGCTTGGTTTTTGGTCAGAACTATCTTCCAATGATTTACTAGACTCATAGTCATCAATCGGTAAAAGTTTTCCTTCTTCAGCTGATTTCCACACAAAATCGGCACTTACAATGGGGAGTCGATACTTCTCAATAGTTTTCAGATGATAAGAGCTGAGTACAGCAACATTATCCACAATGACATGTGTACACTAAAAACGAGGTTAAAAATCACAGCCATTATGCAGATGCAAAAATAGGTAACTACTGCAGTTTAGTTTGTTTACTCAATACTAAGTTCCTATTAGTAAACAACATAGTGAATGCCAGTGAAAATGAGGTAGATTCTGAGGCTAAAATAGAGAAAGAACAAGTTAAAAATTACTTAGGCCTTGGCTACACTCGCGGATTCACAGCGCTGCCGCGGCAGCGCTGTGAAGCACGAGTGTAGTCGTGCCGCCAGCGCTGCGAGAGAGCGTGCAGCGCTGCAGGCGCTGATTACACTGGCGCTTTACAGCGCTGCACTCGCTGCGCTCGGGGGTGTGTGTGTGTGTTTTTCCACACCCCTGAGCGCAGCAAGTGCAGCGCTGTGAATTGCCAGTGTAGCCAAGGCCATAGACAAGTTAGATATATTCAAGTCACCAGAGCCTGATGAAATACATCATAGAATACTCAAGGAGCTGACTGAGGAGATATCTGAGCCATTAGCGATTATCTTTGAAAACTCATGGCAGATGGAAGAGGGCAAATATAGTATCAATCTATAAAAAGGGGAATAAGGACAACCTGGAGAATTACAGACCAGTCAGCTTAACTTCAGTACCCAGAGAGATAATGGAATGAATAATCAAGCAATCACTTCACAAACATCTAGAAGATAGTAAGGTGATCAGTAACAGTCAATGAGGATTTGTCAAGAACAAATTGTGTCAAACCAACATAATAGCTTTGACAGGGTAGCAAGCCTTGTGGATGGGGGGAAGCAGTAGATGTGGCATATCTTCACTTTAATAAGGCTTTTGATACGGTCTCACATGACCTTCTCATAAACAAACTAGTGGAATATAGCTTAGATCAGTGGTGGGCAACCTGTGGCCCACGCCGCTTCCCGCAGTTCTCATTGGCCGGGAATGGTGAATCACGGCCACTGGGAGCTGCGGGTGGCCGTGCCTGTGGATGGTCAACTTAAACAAATGGTCTCGCAACCCACCAGTGTATTACCCTGACAGGCTGCGTGCAGCCCGCGGGGCACAGATTGCCCACCACTGGCCTAGATGGAGTTACTATATGGTGAGTGCATAAGTGGTTGGAAAACCATTCCCAGAAAGTAGTTATCAGTGGTTCACAGTTCCAAGCAGGAAGGGCATATCAACTGGGGTCCTGCAAGAATCAGTCCTGAGTCTAGTTCTGTTCAATATCTTCATAAATGATTTAGACAATGGCGTAGAGAATATGATTATAAAGTTTGCAGATGATACCACGTTGGAAGAGGTTGCAAGTGCTTTGGAGGATAGGATTAAAATTGAAAATGATCTGGACAAATTTGAGAAATGGTCTGAAGTAAACAGGATGAAATTCAATAAGGACAAATGCAAAGTACTCCACTTAGGAACAATCAATTGAACACAGATAAAATGGGAAATGAGTGTCTAAAAAGGAGTACTGTGAAAAGGGATCTGGGGATTATAGTGGATCACAAGCTAAATATGAGTCAAGAGTATAACACTGTTACAAAAAAAGCAAACATCATTCTGGGGGTATATTAGCAGGAGTGTTGTAAGTAACATATGAGAAGTAATTCTTACACTCTAGTCTGTGCTAATAATGCCTCTTCTGGAGTATTGCGTCCAGTTCTGGATGCCACATTACAGGAAAGATGTGGACAAACTGAAGAAAGTCCAGAGGAGAACAACAAAAATGATAAAGGTCTAGAAAACATGACCCACGAGAAAAGATTGAAAAAATTGGGTTTGTTTAGTCAGGAGAAGAAAAGACTGGGGGGGGGGGCGGAGAGGAGAAGGAAGAGACACGATAACAGTTTTCAAGTACATAAAATGTTACAATGAGGAGGGCGAAAAATTGTTCTCATTAACCTCTGAGGATAGGACAAGAAGCAATGGACTTAAATTGCAACAAGGGAGGTTTAGGTTGGACATTAGGAAAAACTTTCTGTCAGGGTAGTTAAGGACCGGAACAAATTGCCTAGGGAGGTTGTGAAATTTCCGTTATTGGAGATTTTTAAGAACAGGTTAGACAAACACCTGTCAGGAATGGTCTAGTTATTACAGAGTCCTGCCTTGAGTGCAGGGGACTGGACTAGATGACCTCTTGAGGTCCCTTTCAGTTCTATGCTTTTATGGTGTTCCAAGAAGGAGGAGTGCTAGGCAAAGACGGACTCCACCTAAAGAAGAGAGGGAAGAGCATCTTTGCAAGTAGACTGGCTAACCTAGTGAGGAGGGCTTTAAACTAGGTTCACCGGGGGAAGGAGACCAAAGCCCTAAGGTAAGTGGGGAAGTGGGATACTGGGAGGAAGCATGAGCAAGAGAGCACAAGAGGGGAGGACTCCTGCCGCATACTGAGAAAGCAGGACAATCAGCGAGTTATCTTAAGTGCCTCTACACAAATGCAAGAAGCCTGGGAAATAAGCAGGCAGAACTGGAAGTCCTGGCACAGTCAAGGAATTATGATGTGATTGGGATAACTCACATGACTGGAGTACTGACATGGATGGATATAAACTGTTCAGGAAGGACAGGCAGGGCAGAAAAGGTGGGGGTGGGAACCTGGGAGGCAGTGACCATGAGATGGTCGAGTTCAGGATCCTGACACAAGGAAGAAAGGAGAGCAGCAGAATAAGGACCCTGGACTTCAGAAAAGCAGACTTTGACTCCCACAGGGAACTGATGGGCAGGATCCCCCAGGAGAATAACATGAGGGGAAAAGGAGTCCAGGAGAGCTGGCTGTATTTTAAAGAATCCTCATTGAGGTTGCAGGAACAAACCATCCCAATGTGTAGAAAGAATAGTAAATATGGCGTGCGACCAGCTTGGCTTAACAGTGAAATCCTTGCTGATCTTAAACACAAAAAAGAAGCTTCCAAGAAGTGGAAGATTGGACAAATGACAATATTGCTTAGGAATGCAGGAGTGAAATCAGGAAGGCCAAATCACACTTGGAGTTG